TGGCTGTGCATATCAGACTATCAATATGTATCTTTCGGCTATCTCATCGACCCATCTTGGATTTAGAGGTCTGACAGCAGGTAAAAACCCTCTGGTGTGTTGCTTGTTCAAGGGAGCCAGCTGGACAAGGCTACTGGGTCCTAAGTATTCTTGTCTGTGGGATGTCAACTTAGTATTGTCACTACTTAATTCTTGGCCCTCAAACACATATTTTTTCCTTTGTCAGCTTTCCACTAAGTTGGTGACCTTTTTTTGCCTGGTCTCCTGCAAGAGAGTTTCAGAGATCTGTACCCTTCACATGGTTACTTGCTTCTTTATTCCAGATGGTGTAACTTTCAAGATCTCCAGATGTACCAAGTCATCAGCCCAGTATTTCCCACTAAACCTTCTTTGTGCATGGTGGCATGTCTTCAAGAGTGCGAAAGACGGACCTCTTCTCTGCGTCAGCCACCTGGTTTCCAGTTGTTCCTCTAAGTTGTTACCAGTCTCTCTCTGCCCCAGTCATGCACGATGAGTAAAGTGGATCTTGTCCCAGATAGATGTGACTTTTCATCTGTGCTCACTCCACCAGGGAAGCCCCGGCATCCAAGATGTTTTCAGTTGAAGGCCGTTTAGAGAACATCATGCGCTCAGTGAATTGGCTCAGAGAATCCACGCTTTGCAAATTCTATGTTAGGCAGGTCTGTCATGTTTTATCCTCTGTAGTTTCTCAGCTTTGAACTTGCAAAATATGAGCTTCTATGACTTAGAAATAAATTACATGTATTTGCTAGTCCATGAAGTCATGATTTTATGAAAGACACGGAGGCAAATATTGTCCTGCCTTCATGCAGAGTCTTTCTATTACTCATTCTTTCACTGCCATTCCTTCCCGTTCTGGAGGTGTTGTTGTCAGATATGTTTGCTGGGGGGAGTTGTTGCTTAGGTGGTAGTACTACATGCTCTGTTGCATATCTTTTAAAATGCTACTGTGTAGATCTGCATCCTGAGTGTATGGCTCTCTGTTAGGTAAGTTTCTTGAGCTTCTACTTTAGGCTGAGTTATGCGCTCCTGCTTGATTGTGTTGGATATCATGTGTGGCCCTGTAGTTTGCGGCTGATTCTATCACGGCTCCATCATTAATGTTTACCTCTTTGTTCTTCCCGTTTTAGTTTGAAACACCTTTATCAAGACCATCCTTTTTGTTCTTCTTGGTGGCTGTTTGGATCCATTCTTCCTGTTTCCTGCCAACTTCGTGAGAGGTGGAATCTACAGGTTCTGTAGATGATTCTCCCTGGTCCTCATCAGCTAGGTCCTATTGTTCCTCTTCACTGTTTTTTGCTGTTGTGGTTTGTTCTGCCTGTTTAAAAAAAAAAAAGAAAGAAGTGTGTGGACATGTTTCTGGGGTTTATAGGGCTGATGTTATGATGGGAGGTGGTATGTGGGGCATTGTATTCATTAATATTTGTATCTTTATTTCTTTGCTGTTGTGGGAGTAAAGAAAGAGTTACATGCACAGTATTTGCTTCCATGGCTTTTATATATTCATGATTTTCCGTCATGGACTAGGAAAATCATATAATTATGCATGGAATCCTGACATAAGCAGTGATATGTCCACCCCCATTATTTAATTAAAAATTCAGGACAAGGTTAAGGTCCATGTCCCCACACCTATTATTTTACAGGGTGTGGTCATAGGATGAGGCCTTCGTAGTGACTAGGCATCAATGGATACCCAGTCGCTAGAATTAAATTAAATATATGGACAAGAGTATTGGGACACACCTTTTAATCATTGAATTCAGGTGTTTCAACCAGACCCATTACAATAGGTGTATAAAATCAAGTACCTAGCCATGCGTCTGCATTAACAAATATTTGTGAAAAAAATAGGTTGTTCTGAAGAGCTCAGTGAATACAAGAATGGCAATGTGATGGGACACCACCTTTGCAATAAGTCAATTTGTGAAATTTCATCCCTGTTAGATATTCCATTTTTAACTGTAAGTGGGATTATTAGAAAGTGGAAGCATTTAGGAACAGTAGCAACTCAGTCACGAAGCAGAAGATCACATAAAGTCACAGAGCGAAGTCGCCAAGTGCTAAGGTGCATGGTGCGTAAAAGTCACAATGCTCTGCTGATTCCATAGCTGAAGAGTTCCAAACTTCCACTGATATTTGATATTAGCAGAAAAATACTGCATTCTCAGGACCTCATAGTTAATGTCTTATCTTATGAGCTTTGATATTTGTGCCAGTTCTGCTTGGTACTGAAACTTAGCAGCTGTTTGATTATGTAGATCAACCAGCAACACAGAATGTGACTGATTAAGACTCAATCAGCTCTCATTATTGAGAAATTACAAAAAGCTGTCTGAGATAGAGCAAACATTTCCGGAGTTTGGCTTTTGGGTGTTTATTTGACTACACGTTCTAGTTTATAGTAACACACTAGTGACGGAGGAGACTGAAAACAATAACATAACCAACATTACATAATTACCTGAGATCTTTGTCCAAAATGCACTCTACCCACTGGTGTGAGTAATTCAATTTCTAGCTTATTCTGGTCAAGTGAACCTGACAGTTTTGATATCATATAGTATGTAATATATTATTCATCATAGTGATTAGTTAGTTGTTTAATTACTTAAGGAGATGTTTAATACTTACCTCCTCTTCAGCAAAACCATCATGTATGACCTGTGGGATTGCACTAATGTAGAGCCTGCTCTTGCATGCGATACCTCCTCTACTGACTTCAAAGCCAATGCATCCATGTCTGAACGGACTAAAATGCGACACTTTGTTACTATATTTCTCTAGCAAACTGTAAGAGACACTTGTTGTGGAATAATTATTTATGGACTGTAGTTGCTGTGATGGAAAGCAGGAGAACCACCTTCTCTCCTTTCACTGAACGTAATGCCATCAGTAAGTGAAAGCTATAAGTCAAACTTTTTTGGGCTCCAATTACTTTTAAAGGGACAGTTTTTGTGTATAGATCATGCCCTTGCTGTTTCACGTCTCAATTCATTTAGGAGTCACTTTTGTTTCTGTTTATGCTGCCCTAGCTACACCTCCCTGACTGTGACTGACACAGCCTGAATGGAAAAAAAATTTTTTTTTAATAAGGTGTTGACTTACTTTAAATGTTTTTATCTGCTGCTCTGTAAGTTGAACTTTAATCACATTCAGAAGACAATAATAGATAATAATAATAATAATAATAATTAATAGAGCAGGAGATAAGAAATTCTTAATTTAACAGACTGTGCAATAAAGGAAGTGTAATCATTAGCTCTTACTTTGCAGGAAGTATTTAAGAAGCCTGTGCGAGTCACATGCAGGGTGTAACTAGGTTTGCTCTTAAAGCAGCACTGTCATGCCGAATCCTGTTTTTTTATAACCCCCCTCCTGCCTCCACTACATCTGACACCCTAGTCACCCCCAAATGCCCCTAAGCCCCCTACATTACCTATTTTTTATTCCTTATTTTCTGCCCCGATCTATATTCAGGGCGCCGCCATCTTTGTGTGGGTAGATGAAGTCCCTGTGGGACACGTCATCTGCCCGCACTAGATAGACTGTGAGATTCCCACACATGCCCAGTGAAACACCTGGACATGCGAACGGGAATTTCATCTATTCATTCATTCATCAGACAGACGAATGAGTGAATAGAAATATCAGCCGAACAAACAAACACTATGTATCAGTGTTCGTTTGTTCGTGCAGTTTATTACAAGGAGGGAGCTACCGGCGAGCAGCTCCCTCCTTGTAATATGTAACTATAGAAGTGGCAGGGAGCAGTGCTCCCCACCACTTCATAAGCCCCCCAGGTCCCACCTCACTCTATGGGGGTCAATATGACCCCCATAACAGCACAAGGGAGACTACAATCTCCCCAATGCACCTACTGTCCACCCCCCTCCGGCCCCCACCCCTGGGCGGCGGGTTGGGGCCATAAAGATAATGAGGGGGGAGGACCTACTGTCCCTCCCCCCTGGCCCCCAGCCCTGGGCTGCGGGTGGGGGCCCTAAGTAAATCACCCCCCAGGTGACTAGGGATCCCCAAGCCCCTAGTCACCCACCCCCCACCCAAATAAAAAGTCCCTACCTAGCCCCTCACCCTAAAAAATAGTGAGGGGGGAATAAAATAACTAACCTGTAAAATAAAATTAAACTTACCATTCAACGTCTTGCAGGCATTTGATCTACAAACAAAAACTGATTAATTAAAATAAAGTTGTTTTGGTGACTCTGGTGTCCCTTTAAGTTTCTATAAGCCGCTATACAATACATGAACATAATCTTCCTAGTAATATTCCCATTAATCCTGAAACCAAGACATATGTTCCCTTGTGATGTAATTGTTATCCTTTAAGAAAAACAAAACAGTAAAACTCAGAAAGGCTGGAGACCTTATAAGCCTCAGCTAGGTCCAGAGTACAGAAATGGGGTTCCATTTCATAGTGGGTCCATGGCAATGTCCCAGTTGGCCCTCCATGGGTCAGTGAAAGCAGGGCACAGAATTTTATGGCAAGACCAGAGGCTTCATATTTCCTTATCTTTCTTTACTGAAACCTCCAGCAGCAAAGAATCAGAGAGCATGACCGTAGTATGTATTGTAATCAGGCTCCTCCTAATTCCTCTTTCTTTGCCGCTTGCCTCCCAGGTGAGTCTATTCTAATTATAGTCTCCTACATTTTGACTTTTAGTCATATATGATATTTGTGATCTTATATTTTATTTTATTATATTTGTTTTTCCTTATACACCTTTAACTAACTACCTATAAGTACTAGTTAAATTAGTGTACATCCACTTTTACTGTTTGGCAGTTTTATACTGCTCCCCTATCCTCTTATGTGCTCTGGCACTCTACATATTTTGCCTGCTCTCCCTCTGGAGCCCCACTGCCGCCGGCCGCGCTAGTCAGCGGAGGTATTTTCACACTAATTCCTGGCCTTACCCCTGCAGCCATCACATTAGGCCAGGGTTGTCAAACATGCGGCCCCCCAGATGTTGCTGAACTACAACTCCCATGATTGCCTGGCTATCTGTTTCATTGAAAGAATCATGGGAGTTGTAGTTCAGCAACATCTGGGGGGCCGCATGTTTGACAACCCTGCATTAGGCTGTCAGAAGTCCAACCGGCCCATTCGTATGGCTTTTCCCACCCTTTTTGTTTGCGGCGGCCATCTTATGCTCGCGCTGCACTTTCCCACCATTTTGCCATTCATAAAGTGCAGAATACTACAGGATGGTTGCAAGCTCTGCCTGCTCTTTGTCTAGCGATAAGGTAAGGTTTTATTTCACATCTAATAGTGTATTTCCTCTACTCCAATCCATTACCATGTATTCTTAGTGCTTTATATTTTCTTTATTGCAGATGTCTGCCAAATGAACACTGTACAATTCTGTGGCTGACCACCACATATTAAATTGATTTATAATTTAATTCACACAGGTGACCCCTGTATTTTTAATTTGTTTGAGCCTTACAATTGGGTGACGCCCTGTTTATATATATCTAAACTCCCTAACCAGGGATATATTTTGTGGGTGTCCCCCACTGCATCAATTTGACTGTTCAATCCACTTTATTATACCAATATTTGTGGGTGATCCCCACCTATGCTATATAAGTGTTGTGGCTGACCCCACTTTCCTTAATATTTCTAAGTGATTAACCCCACTTTATTTACGTTGGGTGACCCCCACTTATTATTCATTGTGTGGTAACCCCACCAATATCTGGGTGAACCCCAATATGCATACATACACATTACTGGGTGAACCCCATTTGCTACTGGTGAACCCAGTCATTTTATATATCTGATCTTATTTTCAAATATATACTACTTTGTTTTATAGCTTGTACATAGTTATTTTCATACATTTTTTATAGAATGTCCGAACAATCAGACCATAAAATCTCCGCTGAGCTTCGTGCTTGCTTTACTCCACTATAGTGTATTCTATTCCTGAGGCTACCGCAGTCTACCATGAACAACCTTTAAGCGTCTCACAACCTCCTGCTCATGTAGATTCTGATTCAGACAATTCTCATATGTCAGATCATGAGGAAGCCCTGCACAAGCGCCCTTGGAAAGGGGACAGTGCGTCAGCGGGCAAAGGTAAAGCACCAGCTAAATCTGTCAAATTATCTTTAACGACCTGTGTTACAAAATTTAGACCCTCTAGAGGGTTCTACTTTGCACCAGAATTTCCAGGTTCTGGATGAATATTATGCAGAATCAAAAAATTATTCTGACAAAATAAAGACTCCAGACCAGTCTGTCGACACACTTCTGGATGCATCTGACAAACCCCTTTTTTGTCCCACGTGTTATTCGGCACCCATGCTCTGCCGAGTGGGAGCCACCAGAACATATCAGTAATTTCTGCAAGACGTGGCTACGCAAGCTATTAGAAAAAGCAATTAGAACCAAATTACGAGCTGAATGCCCCTGGCCCACCATACCGGGTAAAGTGGCCTTAACTCCTGAATTCGATCCTCTATTGGTCACATTCCTAACTAAATCGGAAAAGGACCACGCAAAGGTATTGAACAAGGTTTCAAAACGTCACAAGATAAACTCTTGAATATTGCTGGACCATTGATCCAAATTTTTATATTGGCTGAAGAAGCTCTTACGAGCAGTGAATTAGACCCGCACATGGTGCACAATTGGGCTCAAAGGGCGCTATGCCTCCTAGGTAACGCCAATGTGGCTATCTCTACAGAGAGACGCAAAGTTGCGTTGTTCAAAACAGATACCAAATTGGATGACCTTAACAATAAAGAATTAGGTCCAGACGCAAATGGTCTGCTCTTTGGGGATAGTATCATGAGAGACCTGAACAAGCTCATCTCAGTGTTTACTAGTGGTGTATCCTGGTTTTGTGCTGCCCTAGGCATATAGGGCATATGGGCTGCCCTGACGTCATATTCCGGCTCCCGGCATCAGTCTGTGACGCGCGAGGAGCTGAGCAGACAGCTCAGAGGAAAGTGCTCCCTCACCAGCGCCGCCCACCCGCCCAACTGACCGCCCCGGCTTGTCAGTTAGCCGAAAGGCTAACAAGACATTTGCCCTGGGCATTTGGGGGCGGCTTTTTTTGCCGCCCCCTGGAAAATGCCTCCCAAGGCAAATGCCTTGTTTGCCTCCCTGCTAAAACGTCCCTGGTGTTCACCTCCCTGAATAGAGCACAATCATCCCTACGCAGGGTATTCCGCTCATATAATCGTTTTTCTGGGAGAACCTCGCTTTCGAGGCCGTGCCACCAGCAGAGCTGCCTCTACAGGTTTTACAGGTTTGGCTTCGACCAAACGACAACTGGAACAAGGGCTTTACCTGCCCTTATCACTGACAGCTGTTCCCAAATAGAGGGTCCTTTCAAGGACGTGGATCTGCTTCCCCACCTTCACACGGCTTCAGGTATTGAACCTACATTATTCAAATGTATCTATTGTAGGCCACTTAACCCATTTTTATCAACTGTGGACAATGCTCTCTCGGGACCCATGAAGGTTTCAAAATAGATTTCACAACCTATCCAATCCAACAATTCCACTGTGGATGTCCACGACAAACTAAACTGTTTTGCATGTAGAAATAGACAAACTTGTCAAAAAAGGAGCTGTCGAACGATTGTCCCCCCCACGCACATTCATCAGGTCCAGTCATCTGAGGTACCTGAACAAGCACATCATGTATCGGCACTTCAGGATGGAAGGCATCCATCTTCTATGCAACCTCCTCTGTGTGGGAGACTGGTTCTCCCAATTTGATCTCAAAAACATTGTCCTTTTCTCCAATTCCATTGGTTACAAGACATTTGGCAGTTCATCTGCCTCCCCTTCGGCCTTTGTTCCGCCCCTTGGGGTTTCACCAAGTTGATTAAACTAGTTATGGCTCTACTCCACTCGCAAGGAATTTGGTCCATCATTTACTTGGACAACATTCTAATCATGGCTCAAGATCAGCAGACTCTGCATCACCAAGTGGACATGACCTCCGCACTACTCCAAAATCAATCGGAAACTATTGTCCTCTCAAAACATTCACCTACGAGATCTCGCACACATGATCGGTCTCCTCTCGGCTTCCATACAAGCCATCTTTACGGAACCACTGCATTATCGAGCAATGCAATGCTTGAAGACTTTTTACCTACATCTGTCCACCTCATACGACCAACTAATTTATTTAACAAACAAAGTACAGTTGGAACTTCATTGGTGGCTCCACAACAAGGACGTCTGAAACAGAAAAGCCATATTCGGCTCCCAACCAGATTTTATTCTGGAGTCAGATGCCAGTCTTCTGGGATGGGGAGCAACATGCTCTGAAATTTCAACTGGAGGCCTTTGGTCCCCTGCGGCACAAGCACTTCATATCAACTGTTTGAAGTTTATCGCAGGCTCCTTTGCGATCCGCAGCTTCCCAAAAGACATGTACAATTTCTCCTTAGTACTACGAATGGACAACATATCCACAGTCCGTTATGTGAACCACCTCGGGGGATCCTGTTTCAAATGCCTCTCCAACATTACGAAACATCACCATATCAGTTCTGCCTATCGAGGAATCTGTCCATTCATGCAGAATACCTTCCAGGTACCGACAATCTAGTCACTGGTTCTCCCGACATTGGAGGGATGCAAGCGACTGACAATTGAATCCACAAATGTTCCACAGCAAGCATTCATCTATTACGTGGACCACTCAACATGGACCTCTTCGCGTCTCGTCTGAATCATCAGACGGTCACCTACTTCAGTTGGCTACCAGATCCACTCTCCCTGGCGGCAGATGCATTTCTCCAAATCTGGCCGATGTTGGGGGCGTATGCTTTCCTCCCCTTCTTCATGATCTCACATGCTCTCCACCTTCTACAAGTTCAGGGTGTCCAGATAGTTCTAGTAACGCCATTTTGGCAAGCACAGTCATGGTTCACAACCCTCTTTGAGATGTCAGTAGACCTCCCTCTGCTGTTACCTAGTTATCAGGATCTACTCCGGACTCCAGCAGGCGAATTTCATCCACTCGCTCTTTAGTGTCATCTAAAATCTATCTTAGTGACCGAATAATCTAAATTTTATTAAAGACAGGGGGCAAATATTTTCCCTCCCTTCCCAACCTAAGCTATTTGTTTCTGAACCACTTTAAAATATATGTTTACAGATTTCTATTTGTCCTGTTGTATTTTAAGCCATTTATGACACAAGACCTTATATTGTTACCTATAGCCAACGTTGCCTGTTTAACTCTATTTGGTTTAATTAGAGTACTAATACATTAGTCTTACCTATTTAAATCTATTTTGATTTCTTCGTATATTAGTACATTAGCTATGTTATACTAACATAGGCCTTAGCTCTTTTAGGATATTATATCTAACCTACGAACTAGGACATTGTATTGTTTTTTTTGTACCAATAATCCATACTTTCACCATGTCTCTTCTTTCCAGTGTGAAAATCCATCCACTTTGTTACATGGATCCCTCTTCGGTTCATAGTTTAACTGGTTAACCAATCGACTGCATTTACCTTTTTCCTGTTATCGTTTACATGATTGACTCTACTGCGATTCAGAAGCATCATGAAAGAGGAGTTGGGAGGAGCCTGATTACAAAACATACTACTCTCATGTTCTCTGATTGGTTGATTTTTATCTATTGTTAACTGTTTCTTTGCTGCTGGAGGTTTCAGTAAAGAAAGATAAGCAAATATTCGCCTCCTGTCTTTAATAAAATTTAGATTATTTGGTCACTAAAATAGAATAATCCCTATTTTTTTTAGTCCCTCCCATTTGTGCACCCCTATATTTATCTGTTCCTTTTATAAACCCTCCCACTTTCAAAATGATGGGTCTATGTGCATTTTGGGAATTGTAGTGCACAGACATCTATAGACACGTAATCACCAATAATGTTAATTAACTATACCATTGCATAAGTCTGTGGATCACATTTCTGATTATGCCAAGCCTGCAAAGGTTCAAGTGCACAAATAATATATTACATAACTCTAAAGATGGTTCTAGTTCCATTATAGGGTTGGCTTAACATGTAGTCCACAGTCACCTACTTGTCCCATA